TACTCTGTAAATCTTCACCCAAATCCTAATAAAAATTAAAAAAAAAAGAAATTGATTTAGAAAAAAAATTCAAACCTTATCAATTCAAAAAACTCCTCTGCATTCTGAAATAATTTAAATAATTGCCTACCCCAAATAGGAAATCCAGAACATGAAGTAGCAATTGACATTTAAATTATTACCTTCTTGAATGAGACCATTTTTGTTATTTTGCTATGGCTTTAAATTCGAACAGACTGTTTCAAAATGCCATTCTATTTCCACTCTCCTGAAAACTCTGAGCCATTATGCTCTTCTCCATTATATGAGGTTGTAAAACTTCTCTGTGCCAGGCAATACATAAACAGCTGGTGAGATTAAGCTGCATTTAAGGGGAAAAAAATCCTTTGGCCTAAAAGAGGTATCATTTGACTTCAAAATTTATAATACTTCTCTTCTTAGCATACTTTACAATTAGGTTGTCAGAAAAGTAGAATATAATTCACATATTTGTTTACATAAAATTTAGAAAAGCAGACTGCTTTATAAAAGAACACCTTGCCTTTTGTGGTTTTAGGAGGGGAAACTCCCTAGAGACAAAAAGTTCAAGTAGGGCATTTAAAATGACAAAATATTCTCATTTCAGCAGCGAGTATTACACAGGTGTTGACAATTATATTTTGAGCTCTCACCTGCTTCATTTTTCACCATTAGAGACAGGCTCAAGTAACTTTTGCCTCCTCAGCATATCTAGTATATAGGATGAAGAGAAGTGGCCACAAACAAAATCCTTACTTCTTGTTCAAATGAATCTTCTCAGTGAGAGGGTTTAAAAACATTAGCATTTGCCTAGTTGTATTTTACTTTACTGAAGTAAATCCAAACTTTGAAAATCTAAGCAAACTAGAAGCTGATAATTCCTTTCACTAATTCATCTTATTAGTGATTCATTTAGGATTCTTTTAAATAGCAAAATTTTATAGCATATTAAAACATGATTGGATGTGTGTTTGAGTATATATGTATATATACAT